CCCCCATGTCCCCCCGCTCCTCACCAAGGTGGGCGACCCGACGCAGGCGGGGGTCGAAGCCGACCTGCCGGACTTTGTCGGTTCGGGCCAAGAAGAAGTTAACGACGCCATCGGTGACGACACAGGCGGGGAAACCGGCCAGGCGGTGATGGAAACCGGGCCGTGTCCGTAGGCAGTCCCCCCCCGCGCCGCCCCCACGCACGCTCAGCCGCTGCCGGTACGTCGTGGTGTAACCGGTGATTTCCCGCACCGCACCGCCAACCTGTGGGATGCCACTGGTACTGGGCGGTGGTACCGGGCACCGAGAGAGCCCCAGTACGCCCCAGTATCCCCAGCATCACCCACCTGCAGCACTGCCACTAGGCACCAAGACATCCCCAGTACACCCCAGTACCCCCAGCATCGCCCACCTGCAGCGCTGGCACCAGGCTCCAAGACATCCCCAGTAACCCCCTGGTACCCCCCAGCATCGCCAACCTGTGACACTGGCACCAGGCACTGAGACGGCCCCAGTACACCCCAGTACCCCCAGCATCACCCACCTGCAGCACCGGCACCAGGCACTGAGACAGCCCCAGTACACTCCTGTACCCCCAGCACCCCCCCCCTGTGCCACCGGGCGCCGGCCCCGAGACAGCCCCGGTCGCCCCAGTACCCCCAGCATCACCCACCTGCAGCACCGGCACAGATACAGCCCCAGTACACCCCAGTCTCGCCCACATGCAGCACCAGGCACTGGCACTGAGACAGCCTCAGTAACTCCAGTACCCCCAGCATCGCCCACCTGTGGGATGGCACCAGGCGCTGGCACTGGGAATGGGGAATGGCACCCAAGACCCCCCCAGCAACACCTACCTGTGGCACTGGGACTGGGCACAGCACCAGCACCAGAGACATCCCCAGTACCCACCCAGTGTCACCCACCTGCAGCACCGGCACCAAGACATCCCCAGTACACCCCAGTACCACCCAGCATCACCCACCTACTGCAGTGGGTGCTGGCACCAGGAATGGCACCAACATACCCCAGTACCCTCCAAGAATCACTCACCTGTGGGATGGCACTGGGCGCTAGCACTGGGAACTGGGAATGGCACCCGAGACCCCCAGCATCACCCACCTTCACCATGGGCACTGGGCCATCCCTGGTACCTGCCCCCCGCCCCAGTAGTGCCTACCTCCAGTACTGGCACTGGGCACTGAAACATCCCTGGTAACCCCCCCCTCCCAGCATCACCCACCTGTGGCACTGGCATTGGCCGCTGGCACTGAGAACAGAGATATCCCCAGTACCCCCCAGCATCACTCACCTGCGGCACTGGGAGCCCCTAGGACACCCCCCCACG